TTGAGCATCGCTCGAGCCAGACGGAGAAGTCTGGCTTATATCGTGTGTTACAACGTGGATTCGTGTATCACCGTTGTATTTGGATCACTGCTAGCAGTCTGAATTATTGCTGGCGGTATGTGTGGCGTCAGTGTGATGGATGAGGTCTTTCGCATAGGTTTCGGAGAGGCCTGCAATCAAATATTAACATACGATGAAGAATACTCGATTAATTTTTACTCTTTCCATATAACATTATTTATAAAAAACGGTGTAACGACTTTATCACGAATATATCTGACGTGTTTGAGTAATAACATGTATTACATACCCATTCTCTTCTGCAAGGTGCTTCGTCATCTGAGTAGTGATCGATCTGCCCAATATCAGTTTCCGTCGCCGCGTTTCTCTTCTTCGGCTGCAGAGTCGCGTAATTGCCGCAGCCTCTGGTGAAGTTGGTCATGTTCTTCTCCTCGACAATCTTCTCCTGGCATAGTATCTCTTGCGATTTACTTTGCTTGTTGTTCGTTACGTCACTAGTGCTCTTGTTGTTGAAATAAAACGGCGGCATTTTCGACACCCAGTGATCCAGACCGGAACCAGTCGAGCTCGTGGACGCCGCGGACGAATTTCCCGTGGAGTTATTGGACAGGCCTCTTCGCTGGTAGAACAACATGTACGCCGCGTTCGTGATCAGATTCGTGTCATTCACTGCTTCTACGCGCGTGTCGTCGAAACAGTACCACTGCGTATCATACGGATTTCTACAAAACGCCGTGTAATGCCCGCCCTGCAGATCCTGCCCATGGTGATTGCATATCGCATAGAGATCGTAGACATTCTCGTCGTACTTGGGGATATTGTGTTGCCGCGGTCGCGGTTTTTTCCAGGGCGACCATCCCAGGCCGCCCAAGCTGGTGACATTGTTATGCGTCGTCTGAACGCCATTGTGAGCGAGATGTGGCGTCATGTCGAAGCCGTACAAAGGAAAGTCCACCAGCATAGTCAGCTTGGACGTTGACCGTTGCTTAGACTGCTGACGAAATCTTTTCAAGTGTATGACTAATATATCGGGTAGTGACCAGAGACCTAGCTTTTTTACGACTTCTTGCTTCTTGTTGCAGTAGGGGCAATGCCACGCGTCTTCCGCGCCCAGTATCTCCGCCCGCGTGTATAGATCGAAACATTCCTCCAGGGTGACCGCGCCGCCCAGTTCGGAATTAGTTTTCAACTGTTTCACACTGGCGTGCTCCTCGATCTGATCGCTGTCGTCCTGTATAATATTGGATTTGGTGGCCTCATCCCACTCGAGGATCAGCTTCACATGTTGTGGACCCGAGTCGTCGGCACAAAGAGCCAACGCTTGCTCGATCTGCTCCGTATAAAGCGGATGCTCCACGCAGGGATCGATACAGGGATGCTCGTCCTGGATCGGCGTCGCCGCCGGATCCGCCACACGGATGTTGAAGAGCCCCGGACTCTGGCTGGTCGTGAGAACGTCGTCCGCTAACGTGCTATGCATCTCTTTGAGCAGGAGCTTCTGCAGATCCTCGTAGGACGTCTCGCGTGACACCTGCATCGTGTACGGGCTGCCGAAACGTTGCCTCAGATCCCCCTTCACGAGAACGTTGATCCAAACCAACAGGATGTACGCTTGCTCCGTAGGCTCTTTCAATTGCGGCAGCTCGATGCAGTAAAGTGGATCGTTTTCCATAATCACGGATAGAGGCTGACAGTCAGAGAAGGTTCTGTGGAAGGAAAAAAAGAAAAGATCTTATTCTTTTTGTTCTATTATTATAATACAAGACGCTCAGTAGATAAGTATAGAGAATAGTAATGTGCAAACATTGCAAACCGATCGAATATCGTAAAATAATAAAAAAAAAAAGTTGCCAATTTCTTATCTTCGTACCTTCGTGCTTTCTTTAGCAATGAAAAGCGAGTGAAATTTATTGCCAGCGCTATTAACTGTTTCCTTTTTTCATCGCTACGTACTGCAAGAGTGCAATTTTGGAGTTTTTAAACCACAATTTAAACCTGTGAAATCCTTCGTCGTGGATCTCGGTCAGTAGCATGTGATTCTCGTCCACGCCGGTGTCGCTGGCCAGGATCTCTCGTAGCTCCCGCACGTTGGCCGCCTGATTCACGCTCACGCCGATCTTGACCTGCCGCGGCTGCTGCGACGTGTAGAGAACGTTCACGTAGAGATTCATCTGCCGATGATTCTGCGGCACCGGCACCGACACGCACAGAAAGGGGTCGAAGGTGTTCGACTGCCGGTGGCATCTCGGACAGGTCAGACTAGACCGGAACTGCGCTTGGAATACGGCGTGTACGAACGAGTTGTTACACCGCACGTGATTCGCAAGCGTCTCCGCGGCAACGATGTCGTCCGGTCTGCCGAATGAGTTCTGCAAAATGGAAAAAAAAAACGGAATTAGAGCGTGTTAAACGACGAGATATCCGACTTGAGAAAATTCTAGTAAAATTACTTCGAGAGTGGCCTCGCCACATCGGGGTTTTACTTGACAAGTATACGCAGTCATCAATCTGTAACGAACTCAGTTCTCTTTCTTTTTTTTTCGCAGCTCTGTTTTGCAGTTTATGTAATCTGGGAAAATGGGTTTGAGGCGAGGCTGTCTGCGCCGCCGACACGAAGCCGTATACGCACGCAGACGGCGCGGGCGTGAATCCCGAGCGAGCGGGGTCCGCGACCGCCTTTCTTGCCCCGACTCGACATTAACGCGAAACTCGGTTATCGCTCAAAGCACATAACGACAATCATCCGTAACGCGTCCGCGGTCTATTAATAGATCACCGCGCTGTCGCAGCCGCCGCTTGGCAGCTCCTTTTTCCCTTCGCCGAAAGAAAGACTATACGCGGAACGTTAAAAGGAGGAGCCGACCGAACGCTAACGAACTCTCCGCGCGGTTTCGACACAATTGTCGCCGATACGCTAAAACGCCATGCGCTCATTAACGTAAGCACTTAGCGACTTAACGTTAGGACCCCGATGCACCGATTGGCACACGATTGAGATAATAAAAGGTCCCCTTCGCGCTTTATTCAACTCGACGACTGGACAAATGTGTGCGGAGTCTTAAAATAATCTCTATAAAATTGCAATAATTATATAGAATGACGGGGTGATAAGATAATGCTTTTGCTATTCAATAGACCGAAGTTGAACGATACGATCGAGCGATATGACATAACTCGACGTGTCCGGAAGCTTCTGTGTTGCCGCGCGTTCCGATATTTTATCACTAACTAGAGTACCCACTCTCGCGTATAAACATTTATTTCAGAGATATCCCAAGTGTTTAATTTTATCGAATAAATTAACGAAATGTTGTTTAAATTAACCGAGAAAATTATTACAGGCGAGAGAGCTCTCCAGTTTTGTTATCGAATGCGATTCGTTTGCATTCCGTTTCGGAGCCTGATTCGGAGCAAAGATACGACCTCCCGTTAATGGGATAATAAATATCGAGGCTGTGCATTTTTGTAGCCTTCGAGTAGATCGCGAGTCTCTTCGCACAGAGAGCCGCGCAAGAACGAGGTAGCGGTATATCGCGCATTCGACGCATTGTGGTAAAACTTTATTGCCTGCAGCTATTCAAACTTACTGTAAGTAGCGCATATCATGTAAGTTATAGGAGTCATTATTGACCAGCTGTTCGCACTTTGTACGTCTATTTCGTTAACGTAAATGGGATATAACGAGCCTCGAAAGAAAATCGATGTTATCGAGTATTTACAAATAGGCGACGATTCGTAACGATGCAATTTCCTAATAAGTCAAATAAAATTAAGCAAACCGAGAAAATAATTGAGGAGGAAGGTAGAGAGAGAGAAAGAAAGAAAATAATGAGTAAATAGCGACCAATATGTATAACAGAATAAATATTGATATTTTCAATTAAACAAGAGATATCTTATGTCTAATAATAAAAATATGTATAAAATTCACAATAATAATTATTAGATTAATTATAAATTAATTATGAGATCCCAATGACCGAAACCGTCAATATTAATTTTTATTCTACGGTAAAATAAAATTTTTTCAAGTCAGATCACGTATAGAAAAGTCACCTACTGGACTTGCGACAGAACTTGCCGTTACGTAACGCAAAAGCTCGACATAATTCCGATAAATACCAATGCGAGATCGCGCTGGAATGTTACGTAATACCGTCGAGCGACGATATTTCAATGTGATGAAAGGTACCGGTGACCCTCGTTAACGCGGAGCGGAACGTTGTGGCGATCGACGACGCACGCGGGCTTCGCAACGCCACGCGGGCTCGCTCGCTCGCTCGCGCTTTCCGAAGCCGTGTAATTTGTAACACGCGATGAAAAACCGCAGAATGGGATAATCACCGGGCTGATCGCGCAGGATGTATCAGCGATCCGGTTGCCGGAAGTAATTTCCGATGCGTATACGGCTGGAACGACTCGCGCTCCGACAATTGGTCAATGTCACGCCGGTGCACGTGTACTCCCGCGACTCGGTAAAACCGTCATTTGTATACGCGCGCCCTTACGAATATTCAGCTCTACAATCGTTGATCTTTTCCCTGAAAGCATACCGCTAATGGATCGGCCGATGGATGGATTGGAAACACACTCCTCCGATCTGTTTAGCGCGACCGCGTTCTCGCAGAAGCGAGCCACTTATCGATGACCACATTCGATAGCTATCAAATGATTGCGCATACAATATCGGCTTTACATCTATGATTTCTCCCGCGACACGTGATACCTCCCGCAAGATTGTTCCTCAGTTTTCAAACTATTTGCGAAATTTTCCCGTTACGATAAATTCATTCCAGCCGTATATCTTCTAACGCAACATGTAACATACATTTAATTCGTTTACTTTATAAGAATGTATAATCACAAAGCTGAAATTTCATATTCGATGTCGATCTGATTTAAACATTATTGCGTTGAAATTCTGTTTGGCTGAAATTTTTCTCGAGAAAATGTACTTTTTCGCAACGTTATTGCATGATGTAACATGTAACGGCTTCGTAATTTTTGCTCGCAAAAAATCAGAAGACCCGATGAGTCGCGTGTCATGATTCATGAATTCTGCCGGTCGCGGTTTTTGTCGTCGCAGTGAGTCATAAAAGTAAAAATAAGAACGCATGCGGAAGATCTGTTTTAAAATATGTAAGCACGCTAAATGCACTTTCCGCTTTCACAATCGTCTTTCGCTTCGCGAAAAACGTTTGTTTTATATTTGAAAATACTTACAGATACTAATAATTGTTAATGTATATATGGAGAGGTAAAAACCACAGTAGTGTAAGTCAAAATTTTAAAAATATTTTTTTGTGTGCACAGATGCAATTTATATATTGTATTGTATAGATTACATCTATGCACGCAAAAAAAATAAAAAAAATTTGACTTACACCACTATGACCTTTACCCCTCCATATGTAATTTAGCAAACATGTATAATTATAATATGTATTGTATACGGAAACACAATTATAAATTATAAATGTAGATACTATTTAAAAATATGTATTACAAATTGAATAAACATAAATCTTATATATCCGACGTGTATAAAATTTATGTTTATTCATTTTGTAATATGTTTTTAAATGTCAATAGTTATATGTCAATCGCGCGATTCAGCTGAATATATTTCGAATTTCGAAACATTTTAAAACGTTATATCTCGCTTTTAAAAAACACAGGAAGTATACTCTTTCAAGCTCAGACATCTCGACATTATCAGCGTTTTATTTATGGAAAGAAACGTGCTTTAACTTTGAACGTAAGCAAACGCTCTTGCTCTTACATGGTTCTTTCGTGAATAAAAACAAAAGTATATCCTTCCTCAATTACTTCACATCGTTATATTTACCGAGAAAAAGATGTATGATTTTACGTTAAGACGACATATTATGACGACACTGACGGTTTGTAGTAAACTACCATTATAGAGACCATTATATCAGTGTGACACTGTGAAAATAAAACTTGTCCAAACAATTTTATTATAAGATACAAAACTCTCAGAACTCTCTGTCTCTCTCTTTCTCTTCAACGAGATGCAAAACAATAAGATTAAATCTATTTTCTCGTGCGTAGCTGTTTTTCTTAGTAAGATATCAACAAATGGAGCGCCACTTGATACGTCAACGATAAGTTCGCGCGATACGCGATTCCCTATGATACTACACAAAAAGCGATTTCTTTCGATACGGATTTGTTTACGCGATGTCCACGTGGAGCCTCGTCAATTGCGCTCGCGTATCACGGCCAGTGATGCAACATTTTCGAATGCGTGCGCGCATATACGACCATCGATGCGTGGAATTCGAAATATGCGCCGGAAC